CAAGTTCGCAGGTTCACCGGGATGACCGGCTGGTACCGCCGTTTTATCGCCGATTATGCCACCTTGGCGGTACCGATTTTTGCAACCCTAAAAAAGGACGGTCATTTGAGTTGGGAAGGAAGCGCGGAAGCGTTCAATAAGTTGAAAGAGGCTTTAACACAAAGTCCAGTGTTACAACACCCAGATTTCGATAGTCACTTCTATGTGCAATGCGATGCTTCCGATTTGGGAATTGGTGGGTGTTGTTTCAGAAGGATGATGACGGAGGAGAGCATCCTGTGGCCTACATGTCTCAAAAACTAACACCTGCCCAGAAGAATTACTCAGTAACCGAACGAGAATGTCTGGCTGTCGTGATGGCAATTAAAAATTCCGACCATATATTGAACTAATGCCGTTCACGGTCATCACAGACCATTCATCGCTTAAATGGCTGATGACAAATAAAGAGTTAAGTGGACGTTTAGCCAGGTGGAGTTTGCTGTTGCAAAGCCACACGTTTAAGATTGAACATCGGCGAGGAGTCAGAACGTCGTTCCGGATGTCCTATCCCGATACAATTTAGAGGAGTTGCTAGGGCAAATGGAGAGTGCGGTAGATTTGCTGTCCGAAGAATTCAGGAGTGAAGAGTACATAGCCAAGGTGGAAACCATTAAGCAAAATAAGAATCATTACCCGATCTTATGGTGAAAGATGGTTACATTTACAAAAAAAAACCATTCCTATCACCGTTGATATTCCCCATGAGGTTTTGTATGGAAGCTTTGGGTGCCAGCAGGTTTGACGGAATCAGCGATTATTAAAGCCCATAACGCACCCACAGCCGCGCATGGAGGCTACCATAAAACCCTGAAGCGACTTAAGCAGCTCTATTATTGGCCGAATATGAATGCGCAGATAAGAGAATATGTAAGAAGATGTGAGACCTGCAAAGAGGCGAAAGCAAATTACAGAAATATGCAACAACCCATGGAGGCCAATGTGTCTTTCGAGCGACCGTTTCAGAAAGTGTATGTTGACTTTTTAGGTCCATATGTTCGGTCGAAGGCCAACAATTCCTACATTTTTATAGTGCTCGACCATTCACGAAGTACGTTTTATTAAAGCCAATGTCTAAGGCGACATCTCGGAATGTCATTAAGTTTCTGATGGACGAAGTCTTTCATAAGTTTGGAGTGCCGGAAGTATTGATGTCCGATAATGGACAGCAGTTTGTTGGGAAGGATTTCACAAATTTCCTAGGTCGTATGGCGTAAAGCAGTTCAAAACTGGGGTATATTCGCCACAAGCAAACCAATCGGAACGAGTAAATCAATCTATCTTGTCCGCGATTAGATCCTACCTGAAAGACGACCAACGGGATTGGGATCAGAATCTATCGTCGATAGAATGCGCTCTTCGATCATCGGTCATTCATCGATAGGTATGACCCCCTATTTTGCTTTATTTGGGACAAATATGGTAACACATGGGAGTGTTTATCGACTGGCAAAACAACTAGAATGTATGAGCGATCCGGATTTTAGCGCTCTCCCGAAGTCTTCGAAGTTAGAACTGGTGCGAAATGATGGTAAAAAGGAATCTACAAAAAAGCTATCTAGATCGATCTCGGAGTATAATATACGGACAAGGAAAGTTAGGTTTTCTCCCGGGTCAGGAAGTGTACCACCGGAACCACCAAGCGAGTGATTTTAGCAAGAATATTAATGCAAAACTGTGTAAGAAATTTGTGAAATGTAGGATTGTGCGTGCGGTTGGGAACGTTCTGTATGAGATAGAGGATTTAAAAGGAAAAAGCCTAGGAGTCTATCATGTACGTGACCTTAAACCTTAGTGGCTAGCTTTGCATGAACAATTAGAGTCGGATTGAGTTGTGGTGTAATTGCACACACGGAGAGGATCTGCGGTTTGCAGACCAGATCAATTATTTCTGTTTGATGAGTTAAGATCATATTATTTCAAATGTTCGAATCAAGCATTCAATGTGTGGTGTGTGAAATATTATGGTTTTCTTTGCTTGTTATTCAAAATTGCCCTAAAATTTCATGTTTACGGTTATGGCAGAATGATGGATTGAGAATAATCGATTAAAACTTTTCCTCAAGCTATAAGTGGCCAATCCGCTTGTGCCAGCAGCAGACGACAGAATTGGGAAGTCAGAGTACGAAGAAGGTATCCGGGTTTGCCGACTCTAGGGAGAGATGTTATATATTTAGTATAAAATTTTGCGCTTCAGGAGCATGTCACGTTGTGACATGTCTTTGACCTTTAGTGCAGAACCCCTTTTACCATCATAGGATGGTGCCGTTTGTAACTATTGACACGGGCGGAGGAACTGTTTTACACGTGGTCGCAGATCCGTCCTTCACTCGTCTTATGAAACTAGAGTCTGGAAACCGGGAGAACAAGTTCAAATACACCTAAATGCATCTGAAATACAACGTATCCGACATTCTGGCGAAAGCCGCGAGGCAGATAGACGGTACATTCACGGAGGAGAAAAGAAGTAAATCCATTTCAAATAAAATCGTTCGGTGGTTAAATTGTAGGCTTCAAGGCAACTTATCTTTTTAGTTCTGAGTAATTCTCAATTTTAGTTACAGCGCGAAATCGGCATTGGTGGTATTTCTGATATAAAAGTTTTCATGGAAATTATGATCCCTGTAGTTGGTGCTATTTTACTGCCGACAACCGATAACTGTCGGTTTGTTTATCAATCAGCATAATCGGTTTTAGAATTTAAGTTTTTGATTGTCAAAGTACTCAACAGGAATATGGAGAAATATTAAGAAAAATTCTTACCTTATCAAGAGTCATAGAAACACCAGTGGTTTATTTAAATGAAGGCAGAGCTGGTCTTGAGGCAACGCTCCTCTATTGTGCCTTTCCAACGCAATACTGGAGCAAAGATTTACTTGATTGATAAAATCAATGTGCTCCACGTACTTCAAAACCTCGTCATTCTTGTCGAAAACTTCACTTTATTTTTGGTTTAAATATAGTGTTTTGGATTCATAACGTTTTTACAACTTGATTTTCTTTTGAATATTGTCGGATTTTATTGCCTTAAATATTTAAATTCAGATAAAAACACTTTTTTCATTCACAAAATTTGGGTTTTGATTGATGGCGGTCGCAAAATAACTGCATTGTTGCTTTCACTGGGAAGACAGGCGCACGAATTCTAACAGGCCAAATCTTCATTCTAAAATTGACATTTTTAATGAGCATTTTTATATTTTGGCCAACTCAGAATAGCCATCATTTCACTGAGAGGTAGTAGCAAGAATTTGCTATTTTACACCTTTTTCATTCATATATTTTATTCTTAACTTTTTGAATGGAACGGCATACACTAATCGAGAACTTGTTTGTTTTTCCTAGTGGAAGCTCTTTTTTATTTTTGGGCAATGCAAAACGTGTTGATTTACTATTTAGGGTGATATCACGTTTAATTTTTCACAATTCATATAATAATATCGTACAACACACACTATATTGCGTACTATGCTTTTTTTCATTTTCTAGTAAAGCCACAATTAACACTCTATCTTGTATACAATTTTCAATTTTTATTTATTTTTGCTTCATTTTGCTACTTATTCTTCAGATTTAACATTAATTAATCTATATTTCGCGCTCTCATCTTTATTTTGTTTTGATTTCACATTCTATTCCGTTTAAATTATTTCGTTTTCTTTTTTGTTTTTTTTTTTCGTATTTTCTTTTGCGGAGCAATTATTTTTCTTCACTTTGGTTTCATTGTGGTGTGATTTTCAAACTTCACTTTATTTCCGCCAAAATCACGTTGTTTCTATTTAGTGAATGAGTGCATTTTATGAGTGTAAATGCATCTTTCGTATAACCACTTGTAACACGCACACACACCCACACACTAGTCGACAATTTCTTTTAGGTATATTAATAATTTTTCTATTAATATATTTCCTGCTTTTAGTAATATTTGTTAAATATTTAATTATTTTTGTTTCTTTCTTGTTGAATATTTCCAAATATTATTTTTGGCAAGTATTTGTTTCACTATCAACCATGTACTCACACACAACCGCACTGTATGCTTTCCATTGACATTTTTTCATTCACATCTTTCTTAGGTTTTTTTTTCTCTCATACAACTTTTCACACACAAATGATTAATTTGTTAAAAACCGAAATGCCACTTATCTCTTTATAACAATATCTAATTTTCACTTTAAACTCTTCACTTATTTCACTCTACTTACCCGATCTTTTTAATTTTCTGCAACACCGAAGAAGTCCGTCCACAACGCGCCAATTTTTCTTTTGCAAAGAAGCCACTACCATGGTATGCCACTACCCATTCATAAACGTTCCATTCATTGGCATATTTTGTAGTCCGCCTAATGGGAAAAAGCGTAACGTATGACGTATGCATTATGCCATGTTTACCCGAGAGGTACTAATATAGATACGCTAGGTTTACACTAGGGTAAAGATTGCATGATGTTCCAACAGAATATTTTCCTCGGAAACTTGAAAAATTAGCTTTAGGGATGCCAAATTAGAATTCGTAGGGATGCCGAACACGGATTTTCTTATTTTAGTACCAAATTAAATATATATAGTTACATTAATTTTTCATTCTCAAATGTCGCACCTTTTTCCCTCCTATCCTTTGATAATGATATCGGCAGGATAGTGGGGTTTGTGGTGTGCGCCTTGTAGGGTTAATTTTTAAAAAAATAAGAAGAAGAATAATTGATATCATACACCAAGAACAGCTGTTTTGTATAACAGTTGTAAAATGTCATAGAGGGGAAATAAAGGAAAGATAACAATATGGCAGGAGAAATGATTTGTCAAAAAAAAGGTAGGATGATGGTCCTTTTTTACAACATCCACGAAGAAGACTGGACGTGTGACCTCCCAAAATCCCCAAAGAACAAATTTGAAGTTGTTGGTGCACTGTAATTTTATTGAGTGCAATGTGCAACAAGTCACATATGCATATAATTGAACTGAGAATTTAAAGAATACAAAAAGGAGAACAATTGAACATTTAAATCTCCTTAGATTAACAAATATAGAAATACAAACAATATTTTGGTTTGAAGTTAAGTTAAAACGAATATAAGACAAATATATGAGATAATACCTTTGGATTTAAAACAGAGGTTCATATTAACAGTTAACATATGAACTAAAAGTACAACTATAACTAAATCTACTTAAAGCTAAACGGGAGTCACACTCTTCGCTGTCCAAGTCCAACGAGGGAGGCGCTGTATAAACGCATAGGCAGTACGGCATGCGCTGGTATAGTTCCCAATAGACATAAGTACTCTGAGACTTCGGACAGACAGACGGACGACCAGCAAATAATTAAATTCCGGGTTGTTATTTCATGAAAAGAAAGAAGAGGTATTAAAAGGAAAAAGGAGTGAACAAAGGCGATTTATATTGATTTTTATTTACCTTGTCGTTGAGGTACAGGTGGTTAGGACTCCGAATTGAGCTCAACTCTGGGTTAGGTGACCATCCTTCAATGTGTTCTAGCGTTGTCGTTTCTGTTTTTTAGGCGACACTTTCCTTTGTTTGTCCTTAATCTGTAATGAGAAAAAAGAAAATGTATTAAATATCGCTAATTCGGAATATAATTATAACGCTAATACTCTAAAACATACAAATACTTACATTACATATTGGGAAAAAGCCAGAATTTAACAGCCGCATTCAGCATTCATGTCCGTCTGGTCAACCTGAGAAGAAGAAGAAGAAGAGAGTTAATTGGCGTTCAGCGCAGATTAGTTTAAATATTTATGTGAATTGCCTAAATTATTATTAAACGTTGGTTTTAATTGCTTCAGAATTATAATTACGATTTAATTTTCAACTATGTTTGCCTACATTACATTAAAAAAAATCATGAATCAGTTGTTTAATATGGATACATAGGAAATTCCAAAAAAAAATTGTATTAAATTAGAATGAATAAAGATATTATAACGTGGATTTAAATGAATGGAAAATATGTGTTGTAATATGGAGCACTAAATAAAATAGGTAAGAAAGTGTAGATCTACACAGGTGGGGAAAGCATGGGGTATTCCATATTAAAAAAAAATGGAGAACAGGAATACCATGGTGGGGAGGGAATTTCTCCAGGCACAATAAACAACCAAACGTGCCCAAGTAACTAATCAAGTTCAGACCGAAAGAATTTAATTCACTACCAGATGACTCGATGTTGTGTTCCTTTGTTTATCCTCCCGCTGGCCATAGATATTTTAGTTTTTGTCCACTTTATCGAGGTCTAGTTTACTGACAAGAACTGCGATCCCCATAGACTGAGCTGTTGCCGGAGCAAACTGTCAGCCAGCCAACCCCGTCTGTAAATTAGTTCCCACTCCAGACGATAGAGGTCCGCAGGACAGGACAAAAATGGATTGTGCCTGGAGAAATTCCCTCCCACCATGGTATTCCTGTTCTCCATTTTTTTTTTAATATGGAATACCCCATGCTTTCCCCACCTGTGTAGATCTACACTTTCTTACCTATTTTATTTAGTGCTCCATATTACAACACTATTTTCCATTCATTTTAAATCCACGTTATAAATATCTTTATTCATTCTAATTTAATACAATTTTTTTTTGGAATTTCCTATGTATCCATATTAAACAACTGATTCAATGATTTTTTTTAATGTAATGTAGGCAAACATAGTTGAAAATTAAATCGTAATTATAATTCTGAAGCAATTAAAACCAACGTTTAATAATAATTTAGGCAATTCACATAAATATTTAAACTAATCTGCGCTGAACGCCAATTAACTCTCTTCTTCTTCTTCTTCTCAGGTTGACCAGACGGACATGAATGCTGAATGCGGCTGTTAAATTCTGGCTTTTCCAATATGTAATGTAAGTATTTGTATGTTTTAGAGTATTAGCGTTATAATTATATTCCGAATTAGCGATATTTAATACATTTCTTTTTTCTCATTACAGATTAAGGACAAACAAAGGAAAGTGTCGCCTAAAAAACAGAAACGACAACGCTAGAACACATTGAAGGATGGTCACCTAACCCAGAGTTGAGCTCAATTCGGAGTCCTAACCACCTGTACCTCAACGACAAGGTAAATAAAAATCAATATAAATCGCCTTTGTTCACTCCTTTTTCCTTTTTAATACCTCTTCTTTCTTTTCATGAAATAACAACCCGGAATTTAATTATTTGCTGGTCGTCCGTTCTGTCTGTCCGAAGTCTCAGAGTACTTATGTCTATTGGGAAACTATACCAGCGCATGCCGTACTGCCTATGCGTTTATACAGCGCCTCCCTCGTTGGACTTGGACAGCGAAGAGTGTGACTCCCGTTTAGCTTTAAGTAGATTTAGTTATAGTTGTACTTTTAGTTCATATGTTAACTGTTAATATGAACCTCTGTTTTAAATCCAAAGGTATTATCTCATAATATTTGTCTTATATTCGTTTTAACTTAACTTCAAACCAAAATATGTTTGTATTCTATATTTGTTAATCTAAGGAGATTTAAATGTTCAATTGTTCTCCTTTTGTATTCTTTAAATTCTCAGTTCAATTTATATGCATATGTGACTTGTTGCACATTGCACTCAATAAAAATTACAGTGCCCAACAACTTCAAATTTGTTCTTTGGGGATTTTGGGAGGTCACACGTCCAGTCTTCTTCGTGATGTTGTAAAAAAGGACCATCATCCTACCTTTTTTTTGACAAATCATTTCTCCTGCCATATTGTTATCTTTCCTTTATTTCCCCTCTATGACATTTTACAACTGTTATACAAAACAGCTGTTCTTGGTGTATGATATCAATTATTCTTCTCTTATTTTTTTAAAAATTAACCCTACAAGGCGCACACCACACAAGCTCCCTCAGACGATCTTCGAATAGCAACCATCGACTGTCGCTGATTTTACCTTCCGGTTCAGCCTTGTCGATGATTGCTACCCGAAGATTATCCGGGTAGATAGTTTGCGAGTATTTCCTCTTCCGTCCTGTTTGGCCTGCCGTTTGTGACTTGACCTCTCCCTTGTCAAGCTTAGAGCTTGAAGGGGCTGGTGGGGGAGGTTTAGTCGCGACCGGCTTTCTAGCGGACGGAGTGGGCAAAGGCTGAGAAGCCGGGCCCTTGGATGCCTTCTTGGCCTCAGGGTGTGATCTTCCGTAGACCGACCCCTTTTCAACGCTGAGCGTGAAGAGGTATCGGCCTCCGGTGGAACTGCAAGGGCTTCGGCTATAGTGGGCTTCGGCTTCTTGGCCTTATTTTTCCCGCGCCTTTTGGCAGGTGGATTCGACCCAGCAGTGTCAGCGTTGGCCGTCACCTCGTGAACAACGACCGTGGTGGTCTTGTTAGTGGCGACGGAATTGCTGACCTCCGCAGGGCCCTCAGCAGAGGATTGAACCACAGGTTGGTTTACCCTACTGCTGATAGCAGATTGTAGGAGAGGTTGAAGATTCTGGTTTAGAGAACCGTTCGGTAAGTGCGGGTGGTTCCGTTCGAACTTAGCAATTACCTTGAGGTTCATCTTGATCAGAATCCTCTCTCTCTCCGTTATCTACGCGGGGTCTTTGCCGATAAATTTTTTGCAGTAATTTACCGACCTTTTATATCCCCGCTTTGCTTTCACCTCTTTTGGGTCGGCGCCATCACGAGAGGTAGGGTTTCTGGCAGGATCTCCGCCAGTGCCTACAATGATGGCGTCTTGCCGATCGAGGCTGGTGGCATCGGAAGTGGCCGACGTTTTTCCCTCCTGGGTTTTGGACTCCGCGCAAGTCTCGCTGGGAGTGTTCTTGGTGGCTTGTTGAGATGACTTACCACTTTGAGACGAGGAAATGACCGTGATGTCCAGTTCCTCATCCGAAATTGGTGAGTCATCTCCAAAGCCAGAAGGAGTACTCTCCTGACTGAGCCTTAGCGTTTTCGCCTTCTCCAGGAGGGCGGACAACTGTTCGCTATGTCGCTGGATGTTGTCATGGATGACGTCACTGTAGCTCAGTATGTCGTCCCCTCCCGAATTGGAAATCATGTCCTGTGGCCGGTCCTTGGTCGGTGCTTCTTTGGAAGCAATGGTGTCATTGGTGGAAGTTGGGGTTTTGTTTTTGTTTTTTTTGTTGTTGTTATTTTTCTCCATGTGAAAGGTCGGACTTGGAGGAGACGAGGTCCACCATGGCATAGCCTCCCTACCATGGCAAGGACTTGGCAACTAAGCCTGTTACTCACTGAGGCGCCCAGGTATCAGTGAGGCAACCGTGCGAATACAGTCGGTACCCTGACTGCAAACCGAGGAACGCTGATGGGCACGGTTTACGTAACACCCCAGCGTTAGGGGGTCTTATTCCTCGGTAGACCAACACCGATCACTGGATAATTTGAGGCGCCAGTTGTTCGCCTCGTCGATCATGGGCACTTGGATATTTATTCCGAGACTCTCCCCCCGGAACCGCTGAGTTGTCCGCGACTGCTTACTTATTCGCAGCTGCCCAATATATCTATTGGGCGTTCCACTATCCGCAACCTGTGGACGCGTCCGGTAGCAACCAGCTATGCTTCCGATGATCGGCCGGAGTATAAGAAAACATATAAAAATCTACTTATTATTGACAAAACATTTTGATATATCAATGTTCCCACTCGATGATGCATCTATCTGTATTCTTCTATCATGACAGAAGGTAGAACCATGGTACAATGAAGAGAAGGTAGGCCAACTTTAAAAAAATTGCAAGTATAGAGGTCTACCTGTTTGGCTTGTAATGTCAGAATTAGTATCAAAACAATAAAAAATCAAACAACTTGTTGCATTTATTTTGAATAAATAATTGAAAAACGCGATAACTGAATGAAAGGTCAATACTTCTTTTCAAAATCATGTACTATATATCACTAAAGGATTATTTCGCTACAAAAACTCTAGATTTTGTCGATGCATACGTTGAAATAAACATTTTGAAAACACCCGAATTTGAATATTTTCTGAACAATTTTTTAGTTTTATGTAATTCTTTTGTTCCTCTTCTATTGAACTTACGATCTCGTCACTTGGGTAAAAAAATGTTTTTTGTCATAGAAGTTATTTTTTAAATAACTTCTGGGGAGAATATCCCAGACAAGAAACAAGGGAACTGATGAGGATTGGTGGCTCTTTCCGAAACCTAGGTATTCCCTGCCTTACCCCCTGGTAAACATTACCATCGTTCTCCACTCATAAACAAACGTTGTTTTTATAAAACAACAATAATGGGATTTTGCCTGACGATTTTTGCAACAACAAAATACTATGGTATCCCAAACAAGCAAGCCAAACACTGTTCTATTAATAGACACAGGCACGGTCGACGAAGGGGTTTTTGTTGTAACAGACAAAACAACTTACATTGTTATCAGAGCGCTGCAAAGAGTGTGCAAAAATTCAAGCATACTCGGTTTCTTACATGATTTTTGTTGATGCAGTCGTTTAGTTTGATCTGAATGAAATGACCGTTTTCGCTTCTGATCGAATCGAACGCTCAGTTTGAATCACTTCACTCATTATCAAACATGAGCGTTCGAGACGGTTTGATGTGTTCAGCAACATGAGTTGATCGAACACATGAATGTAAATGAGCAATCACAACCGTGATTGTGTTCTTTGAATCGAGTTCGCTCAGCGTCATTGTTTATTCAACCATTTAATCAAGTTGGGACATTTTATTTTGACTTTTTTAATATTTGAAATGGAAGAATATTGTGATAGTGCGACCGAAATTGTTGCAAGTAGAAACTACACAGGTGTAGGTAAACGTAAAGGTCCAAGTTTGTGAAAAATCTTGACCAATATTGTAAATTAAAAAAATATTTAAACATTTTTAGTTTTCTAAATACCAATGATGTGTTTCTTTATAAAAAAAATTTAATTTTGTTTTTTTTTTTTGCAAATAAATTACTGAAGTCAAAAACCCAAATAAAATGAAAAATTGTATGCTTATTAAATATAATTTGTACCAATTTCTTTAATGGAGACATCTTTTAGTTATAAAATCCTTAGTAAAATTACAATCATGATTTCGCTCAAATTCGAACATTTGTGTTTTAATCAAATCACTCACTTAACTACGATAAATAAAACCGATCAGACTCATCATAGATGATCGACCCGTTATGAACAATTCAACATAAGTTCGTAAACAAATAACTCATGTGAGCTGTTTGATTGCGATCACAAAATTTCGATCAATACATGTTTGATCACAACTTTTTCGTTTGGCTTGAGTAACTCGAATGAACATGTTGCATCTGACCAACTGATTGAGTTTGATTGTATTTCCACTGTGTGTGATCAAGCCTACTCAATCATACTCATTGCAGCCCTCTGATTGTTATGTTACTTCGTTCAGGTTGAACGAAAACATAACATGTGGAGAAAGATGTAAATGTTTATAAGTGCGGTTGTAAGATTTAGAAGATTTTCCAAAAGAATTTTAGTTTTATGTAATTCTTTTGTTCCTCTTCTACTGAGCTTACGATCTCGTCACTTGGGTAAAAAAATGTTTTTTGTCATAGAAGTTATTTTTTAAATAACTTCTGGGGAGAATATCCCAGACAAGAAACAAGGGAACTGATGAGGATTGGTGGCTCTTTCCGAAACCTAGGTATTCCCTGCCTTACCCCCTGGTAAACATTACCATCGTTCTCCACTCATAAACAAACGTTGTTTTTATAAAAACAACAATAATGGGATTTTGCCTGACGATTTTTGCAACAACAAAATTTTTTGTTATTGAAAAGAAAACAAATACATAAACAAATAAGATGACATATTAAGCCAAGAAAATAAAAAAAAATTAAAATCATATGGTATCATAGCCCTACCTTGATATCATTGTACCATGGGTAGAACCATGGTACAATGATATCAAGTTATTTTCAATAACAAAAAAATTGTTCAGAAAACATTCAAATTCGGATGTTTTCAAAATGTTTATTTCATCGTATGCATCGACAAAATCTAGAGTTTTTGTAGCGAAATAATCCTTTAGAGATATATAGAACCTGGTTTTGAAAAGAAGTGTTGACCTTTCATTCAGTTTTTCGCGGTTTTCATTTATTTATTTAAAATAAATGCAACAAGTTGTTTGATTTTGTTATTGTTTTGATACTATTTCTGACATTACAAGCCAAACAGGTAGACCTCTATACTTGAATTTTTTCAAAGTTGACCTACCTTCTCTTCATTGCACCATGGGTAGAACAAAGCACAAAGCTACCTCTGCCAAAACATGTACTAATATCTCAGATTCAATTTTGTCTAATAACTCCAAGATTCCATTCATGGTTTGTGGAAAAAATATAAAACGTAATAAAACTAATTGTTTTTAATTTTAATGTATATTTGACACTATAAGACTCCGGTACAGAGTTGTATTTTTCCTAGTTTATTGAATTTAAATAACCTTTTTACTTGAGCCATACATGGTACAATAAAGACAAGGTAGACTAACTTTGAAAAAAAGTATAGAGTTCTGTAACCTGACCATCTACGCATGGCAGAAGAATACAGGTAGATGCATCAACGCTTGGGAACATTGATATGTCAAAAATTTTTAAACGTTTTTCAAATATAAGTAGATTTTTATATGTTTTCTTATACTACGTCATTCGAAGGTTGTTATAACGCCCGTTTTTCAACCATTTAATTTAAGTTTAAATAATTTTTCATTCAACATTTTCGATTCCAAAATTGGTTTGACAGTTCATTGTCCCAGCAGCTGTGTCGAAGCGACTACCTGTATTCTTCTACCATGCATCTACGGGGCACTTAAGAATTATCTTTGTCATCATTTCGCTTTGCATACCTGTATTTAGAAAAAGAAGAAGACCTTACTTCAATTTTTATTTTGCTTCCACTTTCTAAACAATTTGGTTTTTCCTTCCTTCCATTTGCTGAGTCTTTTTCCACTTTCCACACTTTCTAATTTCGCGCTCATGAGCTGCTTCCCCACCTTTAATGTTTACCAAAAACTCACAAAACCTACAACACCACCTGTGGGCCAGAGAGACGAATTGGCGATTTGGTCATCATCCGGTAGCACAGCCTGCTCATTATTACAAAAGGAACTTTTATAAAAGCATTACACCCCGCCTAACCATACAAAATGTGGATAAACCACTGGCATTTTTGCGGAAATTTACTCCAGATGGTAGTATGCTGTTGGCTTTTGCGTATGAGCAACGTGCATTGGAAGTATATCAGTACCAAGGTGTTGGCAGGGTTGCACACCTTTTGAGTTCCCAGAAAAGCGAATGTATAACGGCGGCGGATCACTCTTTGGATTCACTACATATACGGCAGCAATTGTTCAATGCCCTTTTTAAGAAGAAATACACAATCCAATTGATAAATGCTTCGTGGTCCACGCGGCATGTTTTGGATCGAGAATTTAGTATATTTCTTGAAAATGGCCGTTATGTACTGTTGGTGTCTGTGGCCGGTGGCGCTATTCTTCCCAGTTATCAAGCCTATCAGGAATATCCTGATCTATTTGATGATGCCAATTTGTATGACTACACGTTTCATTTGGTCGACTTACACAAGGGATGTATTTCTGACACGTTGCGTATGGAACATGATTTCATTGTGTTGTCCCACAATCATAGTGTCTCGGTATATGGACGTACGATAGCTATTTTATCTACATACCGACAATGTATAGAACTTTTGGAGCTGGATATGGAGGGGAAACTGCAACGTTTATACACTGTGGGTCCATATGGCAGTAATTTAGATCGTGATCAAATATTAGCCCATCAACAAATGACAACTTCCACACTGGATCACACACACAGTGTACCGTTGTCACATTTCAAGCAGAAAATCTTGGCATTTATTTACAATTGGGCTTTGGAGGCGCCGACGGAATGTGAGCGCAAAGAGAAGCTAAAGTTTTTCTATAAAAATTTTGGATTGGTAGGTAGGCGATTGCATTAAGCTCTCTTCCACATCGGGTGTTAGTGGCGAATAATGTTGTTTTTAATTATCACTTTTTAGGTCGAACGCATGCTTATAATGAAAATGCAGTTGATCGATAGTGAGCATATATTGATGCGTTATGAAAAACGACAATCTCAAATGCCCTTGGAAATGCTGGAAGGCACGGTGGATTCTGTTACAAAGAATTTTAAATTGTATGTCTTCTACAATATCACGGAGCAGAAGGTATTAACAATCTTTGGTCAAAATTCTGTAAACATGCTTTTAATGTTGCGGAATTTTTGTGACGAATTTCGCAATGTACGATCTTTGTACTCTTGGCATGCATCATCACCCAGTAATAATGTTTACTTTCGCGAATCGTTTGACAAGTAAGTATCTATATAAGAGATACGTCTTACTACGTCTAAATTTAATTTCACATTTTATTTTCCCAGCGATTTGAAATCATTTCCCGGTGGCATAAGAGAAGCAGCAGCTCGTGCTAATCCCACGCTTCCCATTAGTGCACAAAATTTCTCAGCCATCCCTTATTTAGATTACTCGCTCTTCAATTATGATCATCGTTTTATATCTGCACTAGAGAGACCTCGTCTAATTGGCATGGAACCAATACGATTTCGTGATCGTATTACCAATATACTTAAGTTCCGTGTCCATTTGGAACATTCCTCTGACACATGGCAAGAGTATGGAATGGGAAATAATCCACGGGATTTGGTAACATTCATATTTCATCCCTATGAACCATTCTTCATAAGTATACAGAAGTTTATATCACGTTATGTATTAAATTTCCATATTTACAATACCAATACAAAAGTTGAACCGTAAATCGATAAATGTAGTCATAAGAGCACAAAATTGAAGCAGGAACTAGAAGTTAACAACCAATTTATTTTTTAAAGTATTTACATAATGCCTGTGTTATGAGTTGAAAACTCGCATTTTTAAATAAAAGTGTGAAAATGTTGCTAGTATATTTATATTGGATTTGATCGAGGGTTTGTTGAACAGAAAGAAGGTCCAATTTTAATATAAGGAGTTTTTGATTGTATCTTGATCTTTGACATTTTTTTCTACTTATAACACTACTATCATGGACGATGTGAAAAGATATACTCTTATTCTATATTTTTATATACAATATGATCTGCAGGTCTTCAATTGATAAGAAAACATTATCAATAATAATAAAGCAATTTTCGTATTTTCATTAAAATTACATTTTATTTCCTCTAAACCTAAAACTTCATTAACTCGCTATACTCCAAATCCTGTCCCAAATTTCACACAACACAATATTCATAGAGATATTGACGAGCTTTAGCAAAATTTCCACTGGAACGATAGATAAGATGTAAATTGAAAGCAATTTCCTGCTTTAAACTCAATATTTTCTCATGTTTTTCCAGCAGAGGGTGGGTGAAATTTAAAGCCTTTTCATAATATTCCACTGCCAAATGAAACAGACCACATTGATGATAGATTCGACCAAGATTATAATTAATCTCCTGATATGTCACAGAATTCTCCATAGATGAATCAACATTGTTGGGCGACATGGCAAAGGCCGTTGATCTCAACTCGGCATATTTTTGGGCAAAAACCACAGACTGACTAACGGCGGCACATTTTCGCAAGACTTTCTTTTGCATGGATATCTGTTGAAATATGACCGCTATGCAGAGGGCTAATAGGGCGGTAGGTTGTTCCTTGTAAAGGGGTACGTACACATTTAAAGCATATTTATAGGAGCTGCAATGCAAATGATAGTGACCGGTTAAAATACGCATTCCCTTGGCCTGAGGCTGCCGCTGTATCAGACGATTGATGTAACGGTGATAACGTAAATCCTGACCCTTTTGTATTAGCAAACACATGAGATTCCACAGTGGTTTAGAACTGGCATTTTTGTGTATCAATTCCCTTAAATATGAAAAAGCAATGGAACAGTCATTGTTAAAGTAACAGGCCAATATGATGATGCGCTCCAGTTCGACATGATAGCCAACAAAACGTTTGGTTGTGACCATGGCAAAGCACATTCTTTCCAATATGCTTGTGTTCTTGTGCAGGAATCCAATGCGCATTAGTTCCAAAAACAGTTGATATTCATCATGCACGGAGAGGTCATCTGTGGCATTGTTTGAGGAAGAACTTTTGGAAACCTCCAATGCCTTATCAGCTTCATCACCGATTATGTTACGCATTTGTAGTATAACTTTGAGGCCTTCTGAATTATAGAAAGACCCACCATTTGCTGCCGCTTGCATTTCTTCGCGATTCCGCAGTTTAATTGACTGACGTCCTAGTAAGACACAACCGATTTCCAGGAACTCCTCGATTTCATTGATTTGTTGTAGCATTATGCACCTCTCATAGAGTAAGCGTGCGTGCAATGGCTGGCCTTCATGTTCCCCCGATTGTTCCAAGGCTTTGACCGCCTCTATATGCCTACCCTGTTGCTTCAACAAAGCAGATAAAGTAAATTTTGCCTCATAACAATATGGTGCATATTCCACCACTCGGGTATAACTCTCAATGGCTTCGTTGCAACGATTTAAATGTCTCAAACATTCGGCCTGTTTTAGCCAAATAAATGCTGGACATTCAATGATATCGCCGTCGGTTATTGGTCTCAGCAGGGATATTGCCTCCGCATATTTATGTTCCTGCATAAGGGCTTCAGCAATATCGCAATATAGATGTAGTCTATCAGTTTCCAGGGGAGGTATGTGTTCATGTATATTCTGTATCAAGTAGCCCAGTAAATGGTGGGCCTTAAGATTGATTAGGGCCACACACAGTTTTACCCTGAAATCGGGTAAATAATCATCGGGTATTACACAATAGAATATCAAGTCCAATTGCTCCTCTTTTTCAGTTTCCAGTTCTAAATTTGTTCTTTCTCGCAAACATTGTAGAACCTTAAAATATTGTTTGTTGATAATACACAGCTCCATGTAGAGATTTAAATCTTCCAAACTAAAGAGATGGCCACACACACCGTAGGCACTTTGCATGGCCTCCAAGGCCAAATGATATTTGTTGCAGCCATGGAAGTGTTTGGCCACATTTTTGGCAGTTACCAAACACAATTCATGTCTGTCAACCGGACAATGTTGTATCATTTTTAAATATGTAAATAGAGCCGCCGTTTTCTCTCCCATCATATCCAAGAGACGGGCCTTACGCAAACGCAAATCATAATCGCGTGGATGGACCTTAATGGCACGCGTATAGTATATTCGTGCTCTCTGCAAATTGCCCTGTGCTATGTGCATCTCGGCAATACGTATCCATTGGTAACGATCGCTGGGATTCAAATGGACAGCAATTGTAAGAAAATTTAAAAATTTCTCCGTATCCCGTGACTCGTAAATTTCCGCCAATGTAAAGAAGGGTTCGGGGGCCAAGGGATTTTGACGTATAATTTCCAAACAAATTTTTTCAGCCATCTGTATTTGGCCACGCGCAAAGCACAAATTTGCCTCACCCATCAAACCCTGTAGGGCCACATTGAGCAGCGATCGTTTGCGTACTCCACCGGTGCTAGTGGAGCTAGTAGATCGTACTCGGCGACTGGTGCTCGGTATGTCATCAGCGTCCATTTTGCGATCTTTTCGTGATTGTTTTTTTCGCTTTGGCACGGTCATATTGGAAAAGTTCAATGCTCCCGGTGGTAGTTCTATGTTTGGAAAACCTTGCATTATATTTGCCTTAAACTCGGCTTGCTCTTGCATTTCTCTCTCCTGCGAGCTTCTAATATCGTTGATATCACTTGTACCCATTTCTGCATCACCATCCTCCTCCTCTTCATCTTCTTCGCCATCATCTTCATCGTCTGGCTGTTCGTGTGGATCCAGTTTGGTATAGAAATCGGGAAAATCAGCTTCACCATGAACAAATTTTTGTATTAGATTGCCCTCATCTTCGTCATCATCTGAAATAAGTTGAAGGACTTTTAATGGTTCTGTCTCCTGGAATTGGGATAGTTCTTCTTCGGGGACATCATTACTATTGATTTCTTCGATGACCACATCACAGGAAGCGGCAAGATCCATGGTTATGAGTGTTTGGAATAGGGGTTTTAATTGGGAATATTTCCGGGAGATCCTCCGTCCGCTCAGTCAATGAGATTTGTTTTATAGGAATGCCAATTTAGTTGGTTCTATTCCCTGCGAATATGGAGCGAAAAAGGAGGGCAAAGCGGTATTTTCAGTGTTTACGAATGATTGGGTAGAGACAATATGGATGACTAGACGTTTGTTTACGAATAAGACATGGTGAAAAAACAGCTGATGCCTTGAATACCAAGTCGAGTGGTGTTGTCGGCGATAGCAAATAATTACACTGTGATACAAATCTTCAAAAAAATACACACTTCTTATTGTACCATGACATATTATAGAATATTTCTGTACAGAATGAAATCTTATTATAAAATTAACTTTTCTGTCCTCAAAAGGTACAATGACTACTAATGGGTTAATTAATTAAAATAATGGGTTAAATAATTAAACTGTTTTTCTATGCCTAATCCCATATGTTGCAGGAGGAGTTTCAGAAAGAAAGGATAACAGATAACATATAAAGCCAAGCCAAAGTATTGCGAATTGTGACTTTTTGTGGAATAGGTACCAAGGGGTTCGCAGATATATATCATCATCACAACAGATCCTGCGTTAGCAAAAATATTTGTATGCTTGGTACAATGATATCAAGGTAGGGCTATGATACCATATGATTTCAATTTTTTTTATTTTCTTGGCTTAATATGTCATCTTTATTTGTTTATGTATGTGTTTTCTTTTCAATAATAAAAAAATTGTTCAGAAAATATTCAAATTCGGATGTTTTCAAAATGTTTATTTCAACGTATGCATCGGCAAAATCTAGAGTTTTTGAAAATAAGTATGGACCTTTCATTCAGTTATCGCGGTTTACAATTATTTATTCAAAATAAATGCAAAAAATTGTTTGATTTTTTATTTTATTGAGGTACCAGAAGAAATGGCCCGATCTTTACCATCTTTTTAACAGACCTGGTGTTGATTGAAATATTGAGATGCGCCAAGCATGGTAGAAGAATATAGGTAGACGCATGGTACAATGAAGAGAAGGTAGGCCAACTTTGAAAAAATTGCAAGTATAGAGGTCTACCTGTTTGGCTTGTAATGTCAGAATTAGTATCAAAATAATAAAAAAATCAAACAACTTATTGCATTTATTTTGAATAAATAATTGAAAACCGCGATAACTGAATGAAAGGTCAACACTTCTTTTCAAAATCGTGTACTATATATCTCTAAAGGATTATTTCGCTACAAAAACTCTAGATTTTGTCGATGAATACGTTGAAATAAATATTTTGAAAACACCCGAATTTGAATATTTTCTGAACAATTTTTTTGTTATTGAAAAGGAAACACATACATAAACAAATAAAGATGACATATTAAGCCAAGAAAATAAAAAAATGTAAATCATATGGTATCATAGCCCTACCTTGATATCATTGTACCGTGGGTAGACGCAACGACACAGCTGCTGGACAATGATCTGTCAATTTTGGAATTGAAAATGTTGAGTGAAAAAATATTTAATCTTGTAAAAATTGTTGAAAACGCTAATTATAATAACCTCACAATGACGTCGTATAAGAAAACATATATTAAAGTGTCCAAGCGTTTATGCATCTACCTGTATTCTTAATTTTGCGTTTTATGACCTTCATGGATATTCAAAATTTTGACCCTTTATGGGGGAGGTACCAGACCTTGGGTCAATCAAAATATTGTGATGTGTGTAACTTGAAGAGAACCGGATGCTCATTTCGGATTTTATGATCGTTTTGGTCATTTAAAACTTTGGCACTTTGTGGGGGTGATGTACCACCGGACCACCGAAATGGTCCGATCTCTACCATTTTTATAAAAGATTTTGTGTCAATGGAAACATTGAGATATGCCGAGTCTGAATGGAAACGGATGTTAATTTCGTGTTTTATGAGCTTCAAGAATATTCAAAATTTCGACCCTGCATAAGGGAGGTACCAGAAGATGTGAAACGATATTGTCCATTTTCTCACCTGATCTAGCACTGATTCAAATATTGGGATTTGCAAAGTTGAAGCAAAATCTGATTATCCTTTCCCTTTTTGTTGACATTTTGTGGGGGAGATACCAGAAGGAGTGGACCGATATTGCCCATCTCCGAACGCGATCTTAGTTTGACAATAATATTGTCATGTACCAACTTTGGATCAAATCGGATACTTCCTGCGAGAGTTATCGTGCGCACCAGCCAGACAGACAAACGGACGAACGGACATCACTAGATCGACTCCAAATATCCAGTCTTAACCAAATTTAAAACGATATCGCATTTCCTCCAAATAATACCTAATTCCGTTATAAAATGTGCCTAAAGGGCCTAAAATCCGGCGGTAACGTTAAAAGGGAGAAGGAAAAGTTGACCGATATTACCCAAATATTTCATTTTCAATACACCAATCGTAGCTACTAGGTAAAACTCAAGGCCTATTCAAAAATTTTATTGGTAGAAATCCATAAAAAGCAGAAACCCTTAGAAATCTATAATAATCTAGCCAAAAAAGAATTATTTACAACTGTCAAGTTACTTCGCCTGTAAGAATTATCCAGTAAATTCCTTGTCAGAAAGTAAGGTAAATGTTTATACCCTCCACACCTCTAAATATTCGTCATAGACACCATATATATTCATGAACAGCATAAAATTCCAAGTCGATTTACCGATGTCCTTGGGTCTATCTGTTGAAATCACGATACAGCTCAGATTATTTGACGTAGAGTTGTGAAATTTGGCACCGTTGTTTACATTGTGTCTAGGATGGTTGGTATTGAAAATGAGATATATCGGTCCACGTTTTGGGATAGCCCCCATATAACGGTACCTCCCGATATTCGGTATTTTAATACTTTTAGTTACACATTTTCACCAATTTCTCTAAAAAAAAGTTGTAGTTCATTATGGGCTCTAGCTTCGGTGGCGGAACATAGTGTGCATAGGTCCACGTTTTCGTATATAAGAGTACCTCCCGATATTCGGTATTTTGATGATTTTTGCCACATTTTTCCACGGATTTGTATAAAAATGGTATTTGTAGCTCGTAATGGCTTCTAGGTCCGATTGAGGAACGTTGTACATATTGGTGTAGGTTTTCGTATAGCCCCATATAAGAGTACCTACCGATATTCGGGATTTTGATGATTTTTGCGATATTTTTCTAGATTTTTTTTAGTCTAGTTCGGAAAGGGTTCAAGGTCCGATGGAAAAACATTGTACATATAGATGTACGTTTTCGTATAGTACCTCTAGATAATATTATTTTGATGATAATTTTTCCACGTGTTAGTCTTAAAATTGGTATTTGTAGTTTGTAATGGGTTCTAGATCCGATGGAGGAACATTGAATATCTACGTCCACGTTTTCCTATAGCGCACATATAACTGTTCCATCGGATATTCGGCATTTTGACGATTTAAGCCACATTTTCTAATAGATTTGTGTGAAATTTGGTATTTGTACTTCATAATGGGTTCTATTGGTTCTAGTCGTCCTAGTTACATTTACCCAGGAATATACAACTGCCTATACAGGGTGAGATGAAAAAACTGCAACCAACTTCAGACTGCTGCCATTTCTAAGCCACTCGTCCGACAGCTGTTAAAATTATTCCAGTGACAGCTCATTATATTGTTTACAAGGGTACAAAAGCATTTTGGTGAGAATTTTCCAGAAAAAAAGTTATCCGTGATGGAATTCAAGTGTGATAGTGTAATTTCTTTATATTCGACTGGAAAACCACAAGTGGCTATCGCTAGAGCACTCCAGCATTTAAATGTGAATAAATCTTTTGTGTCTCGTAGCATCGCTCGTTACCGTGATACTGGTATCGTAGTCCGACGTCAAGGAAGTGGACGGAAGAAAACAGCAACATGAGCAGAAATGGTTCGACAAGTAAAAAATCGAAACCCGCGCCGCAGTGGCCGGAAAATGGCTCGTGAGTTGAACATACCGCAATATTCCATTCGGCAAATATTGCAGCAAATATTGATGAACTCGGGATGAAGCCATTGAAATTCCAAAAAGTGCAAGAACTTACACCGCAACAGAAAGAAAATAGACTCAAAAGACCGAAAGTGGTGAACTGCCGAATTTGGTTTTCTCCGATGAAAAAACATTCGTTGTCCAGCATTTTGTATACAAACCAAATGATCGTGTTTACTTGCCAAAGAGGTCAGCTGGAAAGAAGGTGCACCTTCGGTTGGTCACCAGAACTCAAGCGCCGGCCATGATGATGGTGTGGGCCGCCATAACAGCCGATGGTCGCTCTCCGCTCGTATTGATCGACCGTGGCATAAGAATAAATGCCGAATATTATCGCGAAATATTCTTGGTCACGCAAACATTTTAGCCGCAGACCTTGGACATTCCAACAGAACTCAGCACGCGCCATCCAAGAATGGTTACAAAATAAGGTTCCTCGCTTCATTTCCAACGCACAATGGCCACCAAAATCTCCGAATACCAATCAGTTGGACTATTGTGTCTGGAGCATTTTGGAAAGCAAGGTTGGCACTAAAAAATACCAAAATGCGGATCACCCCAAGCAAGCGCTTCGCCGGGAATGGGTCAAAATACCGCAAAGCAAAATTCGGGCAGCGTGTGATGGTTTCATTGGCCGTTTTTTGATGAGCAAACAAAAAACAATTTTAGTTTATTATATTTATTTATTTTATTTTTGCATTACAACAAACCAGAGCCGCTTGTATAACCTTTATCATTTGGATATTAGTAATAACGAACACAATATTTTGCGATTAACAATTCTCCCCACCAGACGCGTTTATCAGTCATTAGTTCAGTTCATTCATTACTGAAAGCCAAGCGAGTGCACAAGTACTTGACAGTGAGTAAGTGTGCTACAGTGATGTGATAAGCAATGTACTCAACGTATACGCACTGAGTCGATTTGCCGCCCGTTCAAATTTACGGAGACAGCAACGAACTTGTTCAACTTATAGTGGGTCTAACAATAATGAAATTTTTATTCATAACAACAAATTTCGGTGCATGGAGGAGAGAGATTAAAAGTAAGAAATTGAATAGCATTCTAATACGATTAACTGCTTGGAACTATCGCCGTCGACATTGATACAAAAGTGTACTTTGAACTATTATAGGCTAGCTATTTCAAATGGTGTAGTGTTTTGGAATAAACATT